GGGGGCAGTGGGACAGGGGGAGCAGGGGGAACTGGGGCAGTGGGGTGGGGACTGAGGGGCGCTGGCGGGGCTGGGAGGGCAGGGGCTGCGGGTCGGGAGTGAGGGGCACTGGCAGAGCAGGGGAGCCCAGGGCCGGGCTGGGAGGGGCTGCGGGTCTGGGGCTGCGGGTGGGACTGGGGGGCAGGGGGAGCAGGGGGAACTGGTGGGCAGTGGGGTGGGGACTTGCCCAGCGCCAGGCAGGATTGGTGGGACAGTGGGGCGGGGGCTCCTCCAGCGCTGGGCGGGGTTGGCGGGTCTCACCTCCTGGCGGTAGCGCCCCACGTACTGGTAGAGCTCGCCCAGCGCCCCCAGGGTGTTGAACTCCCCGGCGTGGAGCCGCGACTGCTCCCCGAGGTAGGCGTCCATGTCTTGGTCGCTGATGGGCGCCATCCTGGCGATGTCCCGGTAGTACCTGGGGGGCAGAGGTGAGGGGGGGCAGGGTCACCTCCCCCCATTGCTCTTTCCCCCCACGGCCCCGTTACTCCCTCCCCCCGCATCCCGGCGCCCCTCCCCTCACTGTCCCCCCACGGCCCTGTTACCCCTTCTACCCCCCAACCCCTGTATCCTGATGCCCCTCCCCCACCTCTCCCCCCATGAGGGAGCCCCCTGCGTCGGCCACTCCCCCCAACCCTCCTGCTCATCACAGCCCCTCCCCTGCCCCCCACTCTGCCCTGCAGTGTGCCCCCAGCTCTCGCTGCCCCCTCACTCTGCCCCCTGCCTGGCTCCCCCCACTCACCGCTCCACCCAGCCGCGGTAGCCGGGCAGGTCCTTGGCATAGAGCAGTTTGGTGGAGGGCGAGTCCTTGCCCAGGCGCTGGGGCGACGTGGAACATGAGTCCATGAACGTCTGGGCCACCACGGAGAGACACGCGTCCGTGATGCTGCTCTTGTGCACGTCGAACACGAACTGCGGGTTCTTGATCACGTTCACCCAGAACCGCAGGGGCAGGCTGGGGGGGCAGGAGGTCAGAGAGTGCCAGAGACCCACCCCCCCGGCACCCCGAGCCCCCCCATGGCCCTCCCCAACACCCCCACAGCCCCCCAATACCCTGATCGCATTCACCCAGAACTGCAGGGGAAGGCTGGGGGGGGCAGGAGGTCAGAGAGTGCCAGAGACCCCCCCCGGGACCCCCAGCTCCCCCATCACCCTCCCCAACACCCCCACAGCCCCCCAATACCCTGATCACATTCACCCAGAATCGCGGGGTCAGGCAGGGGGGACGGAGGGTCAGAGAGTGCCAGAGACCCTCCCGGACCCCCAACACCCTGATCACGTTCACCCAGAACCGCAGGGGCAGGCGGGGGGGGGGTCAGAGCCCCCAAGCCCCTCCAGGGGTCTCACCAGTTGCTCTTCCAGGTGTGCCGCACGTCGGGGTCGCTGATCTGGCGCCGATCCGCCTGCTCGTCCAGGAAGTCGAACATGTACTTGATGGGCAGGGGCAGGGCGCTGGCTCGGTGTGCCGTGCTGAACAGCGTCTCGAACAGGTCATCCACGAACTTCTGCAGCGTGCCCTGGGGGCGCCGGGGGTCAGTCTGGCCCGGGCCCCCCTGCCACACATGGCCCCGCCCCACCCCGCCCCCCGCATGGCCCCCCAGCCCTGAGGCCTGGCCCAGCCCCCCTGCACAGCCCCTGGCCCCCGATCCCCCAGCACAGCCCCTGGACCCTGCCCCCACACCCCAATTCCCCTCACCCCAGGACATGACCCCAGGTCCCTGCACCCCGTACCTTGGTGGCCAGGAGCCGGGTGAGGTAGATCTCCGACACCATCTTGCTGCCACCCTCCTTGGGGTCGCCCAGCGGGTCGTGGCTGCGGACGAGGTGCCAGAGCCGGGTGCCCCCGTCGCGCTCGGGGCTCAGCATGGGGGCGCGGGAGCGCAGGCTGTCGGGGCTGCTGGATGGCCGCAGGAGGCTCTCTGGGGCGGGGGGACGGGTCATGGGGAGGCATCGGAGCCCAGAGCCCCCTCCGCCCCCTCCCTGCCCATCCAGCAGCATGGGGGAGGCCATTTTGACTACCCCCCCAACCAGTCTGGATGGGATAAGGGGCTGGGGGGGATCAGGGCGGGTCTTCTGATTGGGGCAGGTAGGGCCCGGGGGGGTAGGGGCTTAACAAGGTGTCTGGGATGTGGGGGGCAGCCACTCCCCCCAGCTTCCCAAGTCCCAGCCCCACCCTCCCACAAGACCATGTTGCTCTAGGGCAGCTAGGGTGACCAGATGTCCCAATTTTATAGGGACAGTCCTGATGTTTGGGACGTTTTTCTTATCTAGGCTCCTATTACCCCCCACTCCCCTCCCGATTTTTCACACTTGATGTCTGGTCACCCTAAGGGCAGCACACGCCCCCTGTCATGTGTGGAGGGGTTGGTCTCTGTGGGGCAGGCAGGGGGGTCCCTTGAGGGGTCCAGGGGGCCTTACCGTAGCGGCTCAGGGAGCGGCTGAAGGTGCAGGAGTTCGGCAGGTTGCACCCCGAGACCTGCCGGGGCGCCAGGGCCACCTTGGAGCCATCGGTCACCTGGGGGAGAGGCAGCAGGTTAGGGGGGGGCAGGGCCATGGGGGGCTGTCTGAGGACGATGGGGGGTGCCTGCCCCAGGGCGCTGCTGCAATTCCAGGCAGGGTGTGGGGTAGGGATGGAGGTGTAGGGCCATGGGGGGGGGGGCCCTATGTGGGGGCCTGTCCCAGGT